GTTTCGATCCGTTTTTTTGAGACACCCTGTATATATATACACACGTGGGCGGTTTGATAAGTCCGTGCAAAGTCTCTAATATGGCACCACCAGAGTATCGAGATTATTTTTAGTATCCAGCAACTCTTGAAAGATCACATACCAAATTTCAGTGAGATAGATCCACTACTCTGTGTTTGGCATTCATTTGAATCGATCAAGAACCGTGATTTGCGAACAATGAATCAGAAAGAATTTCGTGTAGTGTGACCGCAAAATTGTTCGATTTACACTATGAAGTCCAAATTTGGAGAAGGAGGGATGCGAAAGGACTTTGTAGCGTAAATCGAACAATTTTGTGATCACACTACACGAAATTCTTTCTAATTCATTGTTCGCAAATCACAATATTTGATCGGTTCAAATGAATGCCAAACACAGAGTAGTGGATCTCACAGAAATTTGGTGTGTGATCTTCCAAGAGTTGCCGGATACTAAAAATAATCTCGATATGTACTGGTGGTGCCATATTTTAGACTTTGCACGGACTTATCAAACCGCCCACGTATATACATATATAAGATCAAAACAAGATTTTTTAAAAAATATTGATTTATCTTTCAGCTCCAATCGATATACAAAGCATTCTAAATGGTGCGGCAAAGTTCTGTCGTCATTGTGATGTTGTGATCCTTAACAGTTTAATTCGAAAAAGAGTATCGGATCTACCATTTTTAAGCAAAGAAGAAGCTGAACCGGGCGATGAACTTTGCTTCTGTTCAGCGGCTTGCTATATGCAATTTGCACTCATGCATCGAACACCTTCTAATACTCAAGATAAGGTCTATACAAGAAATATTCTCTAAATTATAAAAATAAATGAAAAAGTATTTTAATTTGGAAGATTTTATTCTATAATAAATCATATCGTAATTAAATCGCAAATTAATTATATTAAATATACCAATAATATAATATTATTAACGCACTTATGATATTTAATTATTTTACAAATTAGTTACTTATAATTTTATAATTAATTTATAGCATATATATAAAATTTGTAAATTAATTATATTAAATATATCAATAGCATCATATATTATTAACGCACTTAAGATATTTATTAATGATTTTTGATAGTTAGAAAAATATTTTTCATATAAAAAAGAATATACACGATATATATTTTGTCTGCTACACACACACACACACACACACACACACACACACACACACACACACACACACACACACACACACACACACACACACACACACACACACACACGTGTATGTATATATATATATATATTTAATTCTATTATTTTGTAGGCTGCAACAATAGTAGATCATCTATGTCATAAAACAGAAGCAAAAATGGTAGAAGATGATTTGAAAAGTCTGAAAAAATTTCCCATTAAACAGCAACAGCAGCAGATGGAGAAATTTGAAAATATGGATATTACTAATGAATCAACAACAGAGATTAAAGTGAAAATTGAGAAATTGGATAGTGTCGACAGTGCGGACAATGATGAAAAGCGGTCAAAAAAACATTCAATTAGTGAAGAAATCGGTGATTCTATGGAGCCCCAACCACCTGCGAAAATCTGGAAAGGTTTGAGATATAAAACATGGTCGATGGGAGCCATGCAACCTGCAACTAAATTTAAGAAACCCACTGATAGAGAAATTACCGAGGTAAATGATTAATTTAATTACTTAATAATTATTTTGCACAGTTTATATGAATAATTTGATTTTACACACACACACACACACACACACACACACACACACACACACACACACACAAAATTTATTACTTGGAAATTTATCAAAACATGTTTTTATGTTATGTTATGTATGAATTTATATATAAATATTGATTTCTCTAATATTTAATAAAACAAAATTTTAATGTAAAATTGTACGTCGAAGATGTGATAAATTGAATTTTCTTCCAGATGCTGTTTCGTATGGGAATTGCAGTAGCTCCCGCAAAAGCCGAAGACACCCGTCGATGCGTATTTTGCAAGAGTCAAGGCGATGCAACAGCCGATGGGCCAGCTCGATTACTCAATTTTGACGTGGATAAATGGGTACATCTCAATTGTGCATTATGGTCTAACGTAGTGTATGAGGCACAGAGTGGCGCACTTATGAGATTGGATGAGGTCCTGCAGAACAATCTTGTACAGATTTGCATCATTTGTGAAAAATCTGCTGGCACTGTCAAGTGCTACAAGCCAAGGTGCACTAATTGGTATCATCTGATATGTGCCATTAAAGACGGTTGCGGTTTTTATAAAGATAAGGTAATCAAATTATTTGTAGATTAATATTATGTTATCGAATTATTCCGCTCAGATGTATAATAAAAAAAATTCAAACATACAAAGTATTTTAGTTCTAATAACAGAAGGTGGACGCCTGTGTAAAGAACAGCTTTGAAATTTATAAAACCAACAATTTTGGGCGCATAATATATTACAGAAGGTTTTTTACTTCTCCTGCATTGCCGGAGAAGTTTTAGTATTAAATATCTAAGGCTCAGTTGCACCAACGTTACTTTGACTTTAAACGAGACTTAAAACTTTCTATCTCGTTTTAAAGCCGAAAAAAGACGGACAATAAGAGTTTTAAGTCTCGCTTAAAATTAAAATAACATTGGTACAACCGGGCCTAAGCGGAACATCTTGTACATTAATGATAAGATAAAAATAAGAACTTAAAAGAGTATTCTCAGTATATAATCAAGTTCTGGATTTTTTAATTTTCATAAATTTTTTCTAAATTTTTTATTCTTTCTGATTTTTTTTCTTTTTCTTATGCAATTTTAAATATAATCAAAATTTTCTTCCAGACTATGGCTTGTCCTCAACACCTTATAAAAGATAAAGATAAAGAACTAACTACCCTTTCTGTTTACCGTCGCGTCTATGTCCAACGTGATGAAAATCGTCAAGTCGCTGCGGTGATGCATCATTCTGACAATAAACATTTACTTCGTGTGGGTTCCCTTATCTTTCTTAGCGTCGGTCAACTACTTCCTCATCAATTGCAAAACTTCCATACGCCCAACTATATTTATCCAGTGGGCTACAAAATCGTGCGTTTCTACTGGAGTATGCGAAGACCTAACAAACGTTGCCGCTATGTTTGCTCGATCCACGATGTCTCTGGTCGTCCGGAATTTCGTGTCTTAGTCCAAGAACCTCTTCAAGAGGATGTTGAACTGAGAGACGCTACTCCGCGAGCAGTTTGGAGCCGAATCTTGGAACCATTGGCAGAATTGAGGAGAAATACAAATTCTGTACAATTATTCCCGAGATACGTTTCGGGAGAAGATCTGTTTGGTTTGACAGAGCCAGCGGTAGTGCGAGTACTGGAAAGCTTGCCTGGAATTGAGACTTTAACTGATTACAGGTAGGAATCAAATATTATTTTAGAATTAATTTAGTGTGTGCGTGCGTGCGTGCGTGCGTGCGTGCGTGCATGATATCAACAATTACTTCCGTATGGTACGTTTCAATTTTTACTTTTGTTACTAGCTTTTGCAGAACATTAAGTTTCTTAGAAAGCAATAATAACGAAACATTTCTTTGCTTTCAGATTTAAATATGGTCGTAACCCGCTATTGGAGTTGCCTTTAGCCATCAATCCAACAGGAAGTGCACGTACGGAGGCACGTTTACGCAACCAGCTACCGTGGAAACGACCGCACACGCAACGCACAGGGGGCTTTGCTTCACGTGGAATGCCATTTGGCTTGCCAACCTGTGGTGCTGCCGCAACAATGGGAGGTGGGGTCTCTTCAACATTAGTTGCAGCGGCTGCTGCTGCCGGCGAGGCCGCCTCCTGTCCATACTCGAAACAATTCGTACACTCCAAGAGCTCACAATATAAGAAGATGAAACAAGAATGGCGTAATAATGTTTATTTAGCAAGATCAAAGATTCAAGGTCTAGGACTATACGCAGCGAGGGATCTGGAGAAACATACGATGGTGATTGAGTACATTGGAGAAATCATTAGGTCAGAGTTAGCGGAAACAAGGGAGAAACAATATGAAGCTAGAGTAAGTATAGAAGCTCCTTCGATTGTATATTCTATTAATTAATTACCTTTACTATATTATAAACTAATTATTCTTTTACACACACATACACACACATATTAGAATATATTCATATATTTATTTGTTTATTGCAGAATCGTGGTATATATATGTTCCGATTGGATGAAGAACGAGTAATAGATGCGACTTTATGTGGTGGTCTCGCTCGCTATATCAATCATTCCTGCAACCCGAACTGTGTCGCCGAGATCGTTGAAGTTGAGCGCGATTTCAGAATTATCATTTTTGCCAAGCGCCGAATTTCACGTGGCGAAGAGGTAATTATACGTTTCTTCATATAAGAAAAATAATCTAAGCATTTTGTTTATTTTAATATTATTGCCTCCTTAAAAATTATATTTAAAAATTCTAAGTTCCCATGCATGAATCCTTTTTATCTTAAATATCGTATTTATTTTTTTCATGTTACATTATATTTATTTCCTTTTGCAGCTGGCATATGACTATAAATTCGACATCGAAGACGACCAGCACAAGATTGCATGCGCTTGCGGTGCACCCAATTGTCGTAAGTGGATGAATTAAACAAACTAAGATGACGATACAGAGAAGAAACAGGAAATGAGAAAATAAAGAAGAAAACTCAATTTCTCCATCCTGCCTATTGTTATCATTGTTGCTTTGTTATATAAGGTAGGAAGTTGTATAGAGATAATTTCCTGCGGGGGGGGAAACGATAAGATATATATATGTATATATATATTTTATATATATGTATATATATATAGTAAAAACATTCTATTAAATATATAAATACAAAGTTTATATTATATATCTATTTGTATTATATAGATATATATAATATATACCTATATAAGTATATATTATATATATCTGTTTATGTATATTATATATGTTAAACATATAGATATATATATATATATATATATACTACATAGATATAAGACAAGCACTAGGCCATTGTAATTTGTAAAGTGCCATTGCGCAATATTAATTAACCCCGGATTTACTTCTCTATTATAATAATATTTAACAATCCATTAAAATATGATTTAATAGTAGTAGATTATCAAACAACGTAATGAAATTATATAATATTTCTCTCAATTTTTTAAGAGGAAATTCTATATTTTTTTGCAATTATATTATGTAATTAAGAATTATAATGTTTAGATTTAAGTTCAAACAAAAAAAAAACTGCTAGAGAACAAATTATATGTGTAAGTATATTATCTACATAAAGAAAGATTTTAACTTACAAAGAGAGAGGAATATATATTATACATATTACATTAAAAAATATTCATTTTGTTTTTATAAATTAATTAAATAATATTGTAATATATTTTTGGCTTTTTTACTTGGCAAATCGATTGAAAGAATTAATTTTTTTTTTCATGATAATTTGCGCGCGAGAGAGAGAGATAGAGAGAAAGCGAGCGTTAAGATAAATTTTCTTTAGTTTGTAGGAGTGATCCAGGGTTACAAACTAAGGGATAAATAAATCGAAGAAGTTGTGGTGCTAATCAGAGTCGCCATCACATTCCTCCAAAGTGTTGTATAATATTATAGTTATCATAAGAGAAAATATCGAATGCTTGTATATTGTATACGAAATGAGAAAAAAATATTGAAAGATAGGAAAAAGGGAAAATGGGTTGTATGTGACAGAAGATAAAGAGAATTTCAATCTTTGTGCTTTTGGTCTGATGATGATTTATTTTAATATAAAACATTTATATAATAATTATTATTATTATCATCATCATCATCATCATGTATAATTATAATGATATAGACACACGCATATCGTGTGCACCGCACTGTTTCTGTATATAATATATATATATATATACATATATGTATTTCTATAGATGTATAATAAAATGTAATTAAATTTATTTACAACTGACAGTTTCCAAATTGGTTTCAAACAAGTAGATATTTCTCTCCTTCGCTTGTTATTATGTAGTATAATATAATATAAAGATTGTTGTCTAAGGCACAGGAAGGAATGGTATACACTAGAAATATGCTTGTATAGAAATGCAAAAGAAACAATTTATTTGTTACAACGTGTTCAACGTGAGCGCTACAGTTACAGAAAAGAGTAGTTATATAGAGAGGGTTTCACTTTAGAGAAAAAAAAAACTTACATTAGTGCTATCTAGATTGTTCAATGAGTAGCGTCGATTACAGACTTCAGAGATAGATACATATAACGAATTGAGAGGGATTTTAAAAAGAAAAAAGGTTAAAAAAAAGTAAAAATTGCTCTCTATCAACACTCCTCCTCAATTTGTACTTTAGTTAAAAAACGATTCAAAGATAAATGCAAGCTCAAATATTTATCATTTCTAACTTTGTACGTAGTTTATCAAATTGTTCACAAGGCAAAGCTTTAGTTAGTACGTCAACTATCTGATTTTTTTTGTGCTGACAAACCATACTGAACACCAAAAAACAGCGCTTATAAGCGTGAGCGCTTACAGCTTGTGAGCGTGTAAACCAAACGCAGCCCCAATGTAGTCATTGGTGGCGTTCAGCAGACTCAACTGTTGTGTAGCGAATCCGTGAACGCTAGCTGCTATTGGTGTATTCTTCTAGATTATCCAATAGCAGCGAGAGTTCACTGATCCGTTCCGCAACAGTTGAGTCTACTGAACGCAACCATTAAGCGCTCAGTGAGCTCTTTCATTTGATTGGTTTATATTTTAGTATGTAACGGAATATACTAGTCAGATGACAGAGCTCATTCAGCGCTAATTGAGCGATTGTCGTTCTAAATGCACCCATTGAATGCACCTAATGACGTTACTGCTTGCTTATTTATGATAAGTTATTGCATAATAACACAGGTTTATAATCTCATTTTCAATGGGCTCATTCAGCGGACTCAACAGTTGAGT